AATTTTAATTTTGATGGATGAGAATTTTTCAGAAAATCAGGGGTTAAAAAGAACTAAATTTGCAAGGAGAAGAAATGAAATGTCCACTTACCCATTAGCCAGGATGACTTCTGGAACCCAAATATCCCTTGGGTTCAGCTGGATCTGATTTGCTCCACCAAACTCATCTGTACTCCACACCAATCGCTTGTCTGTCCATTCCTGTAAATGATGAGAATAATGCCTTCAACCAAGGTAGTCTTGAATGTTGAAAAATGTCTCAAAAGATTATATTCCTATATCAGCCTATATTTTTATTATTGGCATTTATAAATATAATAACCATATATGCATAATATAATGGAAGGCTGAGATCAGCATTCAGAACCCCATCATCATATTATGGAAAAACCTTTTGATGAATCATTTTTTCTGAGACCCATGTCCCTCTTTAAAGTGGAGAGACAAGGGATTGGTCTTTTATAAGCATTATACTGCCAATATGAATTCATTTTTGCTTCACATTTTTCTTGAGTATTGGAAGTAGGAAATTCACAAAATTATTTCACATGGGAATCAGAGAAGACTTTTTGTAAAATACTCAAAAAGGCTGCTTTTATCAGTTAAATTAGATGAACTATGTATGTTGTTATTAGACTTCAATTAGATCTTCAGAAAATACAAAGATTTCAATATATGTCTCCTGAGTCTATACATTTAATACCCTACCATTGTACTTGTATCATTAACTTAGGTCTGACAACTTTATATCTTATGAGGAGATTTCTATCACTTATAAATGAGTTTACATCAAGTGAATACTCCTCAATTGTTTCTTATATAAAAGGCTGTATAAGTGTTTATTCTCATACCTGACAATAAAGGTAGAATAAAAGCATACTTTGACTCCAGTCAACAATAAACAAGCACAGAAGCAATGAGTGCATGTATATAGCAAAATGCAGGTAGCTTTACAGACTTTTGTTCAAAATTGGGGTCAGACCTCCTGGATTTGACCTCATTCTGGGAGGAGTTACATAACTTGGCATCATATGTAACTTATTGGCACACAGCATGTCATTATAGGGAAGGGAAAGTAGGGAAACATGCAAATGTCTCAAGCTTTGTCTGCTAGCAAGAAAGAATGACAGAATATTTTGATGACAGTGCATTGCTGTGCATTCTTAATTTGCAAACAATGACTAATTTGAATATGAATATAATATTTTCTGTACTTCCTAATGATTTGGGTTTATATACACAGCATGTATTGTATAAAGTATGGATCAAAGTACAGTCAACCCTTATCTAACGGACTTGATTCGTGCAAGTGACGAGTCTGTTAGACAAAAAGTCCTTTACATGAATTCAATTGAATAAAAAATTAAAAATTTCAATTTTCAACACTAATTTTAAACCAAAAGAAGTCTGTTTGGTGGATTTTGTCTGTTGGGCGGGAGGAAAAACTGCTTGCAGAGCTGGTCTGTTAGGCAAAAATCCCTTACACGGCGGGAGGTCTGTTAGGCGGGGGGCCACTGTATATGAATTTACCCATAAGAAGACAAAGTCAGTCTCCAAGACCCTGGTTTTGTCATCAAAATTGGCAGCAAGGATGGAGGAACTCATGATGACCTCAGTTGGATGTCCATTGGAATCAAAAGGTGGCAGGAAATTAGCATAGCCAGTGAGTAAACGCTGTCTGAGTCTACTCAGGTCATCAGCCAAAGCAGCTTCCACACCTGTTGATTATTTTCAATATGGATGGATGAATATCTGACCAGCAGTGAGTGCATTTGTTGGAAAGAAGCTCCAAGAAAATACTGGCCAATAAGGTGTGTGTTCATTCATTAAAACAATTTATCCATTTCAAAATGAGGTTTGTTATGCAAAAGAATATTTTTTTAAGTACAGTATGATTGAAAATATTTCAATGTTGTGCATGCAAACACTGAAGAAATTCATTCATATAATAAATTAAAACTTATTGCTAATTTAAACCTTGCATGCTAAAGTTAAAATGTGCATGCACTAATTTTAAATTACAATCAGTTCCTGACCAATCCTCTCAAAACCAATACACTTTAAATCTTTCCAGACTTTAAAAAGTGAAGTCTAATCTTTATAATTTATGAGAGGAAATAGTATGATAAAAAATAAATCTTATGAAATGTTTTAGAAAACAGATGTGGATTATTACTGTTCCTTGATGATTTATATTGAACTAGAAGTCTTGGGAATAGAAAAGAAAATGTGAGGTCTAAGTTGTCCAACTGAGATCATGGTTTTCTTGGCATTTTTGACCAATTCTTGTGCTTGGCAAATTTTCATGGAAAAATAGTTGAAATATACTAACCAGCATATGAAGAATAATGAAAGGCTGGAATCAGCACTAAGAAACCCATCATGATTGTATGGGAGACACTTTGGTGAGTCATTCCAAGTCCCTAAGCTGTTCCTCCTTGAATAAGTGGAGATTCAAGGAATGAGTTTTTTTGTTTATGGAATGAGAATTCCTTTTTTTGTTCCAACACTTGATTTTTTTCTTTAAAAATTTTCTCATTATTCAGTGTTGTACAATATTTCTCATATAAGTACTGTATAAGGATAATCAGAAATTAGGAAAGTTTGATATGCCAGATTTGTTTTTCACTTTGAAATATTTCCTTCATTCAGATTAAAGTATTTTATGTTTCTGTGTTCTTTGTTTTTGTGCCAATTCTCATGAGGAATCCTTCTTCTTCTTCTTTTTAGATCAAGTACTTGGAGTATATTATTTTTAAAATTTTGTGAGAATGCATATAAAAGGAATCAACTGATGGAAGCAAAATTTATACAGATGCCAAATTGTTTATTACTCATCAACTGACCTAATTTTCAATATGTAACCAATTCAATTCAAAACATTAAAAATCCAGTTTTGTTGGTGTTTCTGGACAGTTTAAAATGAGTATGCATAGTACAGTACAGTATTTCATCTCAGTCTTAATTGGTTCATGGAACTGTATATGTAACACTTGCAGAAATTCACATGCAAACACAATGGAAATTGAAAAATTCTTTGGCAATGTCACAAAAATACTGCATCAGCCCATACAACTGCAGCAGCAACAATGAAATGGATGACTTTTCTCAAGCTCCACTTCAGAGGGCGTTTCCAACAGAAGGTGTTTGTTTCAGCACAACTGATAAAGCACCTTTTTGTTTACAATAATGATGTAGGCGTATCCTTGAAGCTTTTGTGTGATGCTGTAAAAGTGAACATTTTTCATAACAATATATAGTAATACTCAGGAATCAGAAAAGAAATTCATATATAATTATTATACTCTGTAACTCATCTTACAAATCTTGAAATAAAATAATTTAGACTTGAGAAAATGGTGTGATATTCAAATCTTTGCAAATAAAAAAATCTGTCTTGATTGTGATTTTAAAAAATGCATTATACCCAGCTTTGTAAAATAAACTTTCAAAAATGAAAAAAGATTTTTAAATGAAGAATTTTTGCTAATAATATTGCAAATGCATCACCCCTGTGTGACTAAAAAAAATAAGAAATTTAATGAATGAAAATGGATGGCAATCAATTATGGACTAAAGTGTGTAAAATGAGACACGTTGATACAGTAGGCCCCAACATATGGACATCCCTGTTGGGAATAAATCCCGACAAGGAAGAGGTTTGAATTTGAATCAAAAGCTTGGAAAAGAGGTTGAAAAATAAAGCACAATAATTTGGTCAGGCTACAACCGGGGTGCAAAACACCCTATTTTAAGGTTGGTATACTTTGATATATCACAACAGAAATTTTCAAAATCTTGGAGAACGTTCTCACACAAAAGTTTGATTTGGACTGTAATAAAATGGTCAAATTTGGAAATCAGGAAAACTGTCCTTCAAGGATGAAAAACAGCAACAGGAACTTGGTAATAAAATACAGCCTTGAAGGCTGCCAAACATCTGTGGGAACCAAGGTCTTCCAAGATTCCCACACAGATAGAATGAAAGACTAAATTTGCTGGGGAATTTGGGTTCTCTTAAAGCTAGCGTATTGAATTTAATATAGCCGTTGAAATATTTGCGACAATCCCAAAATTTGGAAAATTGAACTTATATAGGGGCACTTGAAAAAAAAATGAAGGCCCAAAATTCAGACATTGGCTCAAGTTATATAGGGACACTTTTCTGAAATGTTTCCAAAAGATTGAAGCATTTGATTTTTAATTTTGATTTCATTTGAAAAATCAATGCAAGACCTATTATTTTTTTTATCTCCTTTTGATACCAAAAGATCAGATTCTATGTGATTGTTCTGCACTGTTATTTTCTACAACTTGAAGTTGAGGAAACAATTTTTATTGAATTATTTTGAGAACATACTGTATTTCCAATTTTTGACAAGAAGGAGAACCAATTAAATACATTAGCATTGAATTTTAAGGGAATATGAGACTGAACTTAAGGGCATTCCAACATCAGGACACTCTTGATGCACCAATTATGTCCACATCTTGGTGTCTCAATATATATTAAAAATATAGTGCAATTCAATTGACAGTATACACAGTCAATACATTGAATTTTGGCCATGAAATGATAATATACAGTGAGGCAAAAAAAAAGAGAAATGAATATTCCTCCTCATTTGCATCACTTTTTGAAAAGAAGAAGTAAGATGAACAAAGATGCCAAATGTGTTTTTCAACTGACAGTGTTTTAAAAATAAAAAAATAATGTACTTCATAATTCAGTGAAGGATAATGTACTATATAATATAAATATTTCTTGGAATAAAGTGTGAATTCCTGATATCACTTTAATAATTTCAAAAATGAATTTATCTTTCACAGGAGCAAATCTAATTCAAACACAGACCATCTGCATCATTAATCAAAGGAAGAACAATAATAAAAAGGAATATTTTCCATGATAATTGCAGCAATAATACTGTTTAAGACACAAACATATCTCAAGTATAAGTATATAAAAACCTACTGAAAGTGGTGCTAAGTTATGAATGATGAGAACCATAAAAAAAACAGACAAATTTTCAACACATCCCCCTTTTTTCATTCCATCATATATTTTAATCCTTCTCCCTTTTTTTTACCAAATATTCTGTACACATGCGATTCTCGGAAAACTAGAGATTTTTCTCTCCTCTTCCTAAAACCTTCCTCGTGTTGTGTGTTTTAGTTAACCCCTTTTATTCCCTTAGCGTGATTATGGCTGTCAGGGGGATTTTTTCCGCGGTGGGCAAATGGAAGTCGACGAGTTGTGCGGCACCCAGGGGGTTTCTGGTGCCGTCGTCGTTGACCAGCAGTGACCAACTGGATGGTAATCGGTCGTGGTACCATCACAAGATCCCAGAGAGGTTGAAACACGTGCCTGATGCTTCAAACCCACTGGTGAAGATTTTTTCTTTTCTTGGCAGAATTATTTAATTCTTTTCTATAGTGAAATTTTTAAAGAAAAGTGTCTGCTTTTATTCCTTGCCACAGTTACACTGTATTATTTTGATGTATATTGTGGCTGTTCAAATGAATTATATGCTTTTAAAATACATTTATACATTATACAGTGAGACCAGGAGAAGTGGACATAATTGGTGCATCAAGAGTGTCCGTAAGTTGAAATGTCCCTAAGTTGAGTCTCATTTTCCCTTAGACTTACATTATATATATTTCAACACAATATGGACATTTGGGGAATTGAATACTGATATCTTTGTACAGGACAGAGAAATGTTGGTATTCTCTGTAAAAATGACATTCAAGTGAAAAAGAGAGAAGGAAGTTCCTCTAATCTGGAGGTAATTCTTTTTAAATTAGCTAAATGGATGGTAAATTGGTGAGAGAAATTCCCAAGAACTTTTCTTACATCAATTTTTGGGTTGGAAATACCATATCAACTCAAGTACCACACACACCTTTTTTCTCAAATTTCAGAAAGAAATGGGTGCATGCCATAAGCGTGTACAACATTTTCAAGAAGTTTTAGGAAGTTGTATGTTAATTTATTATACTTGATTATAATTGAGAAATTTGTGACAAATTTACCAAGAAAACTTTCTTTTTACTGAAAATTTTAAAATGGAACAGATTCATGTTCAATTCACATCTAAAGTCAAATTTTTTGTTTTTATTTTTGAAATTTTGTGGTTTTAGAGTCACTAAAATGGGGTGTGTGTCTTACTCAGGGATACAATTTTAGCTAAATTTTGAACTGAAAAACCCCTTTGTGCACCTTACTTGAGGGCGTAGGGTACTTGAGTAAATAAAGTATCTGTTTTCTTGTCATTTGGCCTGAAACTTATTTGCAATTTTATCACTAAATATCCCTATTTGTTGAGTCAGTGTCCTCATGTCAATCCTTATTTTTATAAATTTTTTTTATGGGAAAACAAGTGTCTTCTATGTTGAATATTGTCCACAGCAGCAGGTTTAGGTGATGTCTGCATGTGGGGGGTCTCACTGTACATTTATGTTTTTATTACTCGCAGTTTTTCGACATGGTCGAGTACTTTTTCCATCGCGGTTGGCAAGTGATCGAGGACCAGCTGATTGACGCCATGGTCAATGTGAAGGGCGTGGATGACAACAGGAAAATGGTCAAGGGACTGCTGACCATCATTCGACCCTGCGCCGCCCTGCTGGAGGTGCACTTTCCCCTGAAGCGAGATGATGGCAGTTACGAGATGATCCAGGGTTTTCGGGCACAGCACAGCCAGCACAGGCTGCCCTGCAAGGGAGGCATCCGGTATGTATATACGCTGACCCAAGTGGGGAGCAATTTTTGCTGTGACCCCCACAGTATACAGTAGGTGCACACAATAAGGAATTGTAAGTCGTAGGAGGGACTTCAACATACGCTTTAATAACACGTCATAATATTCACAGCACCAGGAAATGATATTGTAGTCAGATAATTAGGAGATGATCACAAGTCAAGCATCAAGAGTCAAGTGATGCCACACTGTCTGGTCTATTGCCCCCTTCCCCAGGTGATAACGCCTACGCCTACGCATGTGGGTTGATTGGATGGGAAAGGGAATCGCCGCTAGGTGTCACGCCTTGATGTAAGGGAGCACCCTTACTACACCATGGTCACAACTATGGTGCATATGGGATATTCTGGGGTTACAAGTGATGTGCACTACCTCTTGTAGAGGAAATGTTGCTACCATTCCAGGGCTACACTTGGTGCACAAATGTGACATAACAGGAGTATCATGCAAATGCACCAACTGTAACCTTGGTGTAACTTATTTGTTTACAAATGTGACCCTGAGTAATCCTGGTGTGAACACAATTGGTGAACATTGGGGATATGCATGTGCAACAGAAGAACTTCGGTACACTTCAGGTGCACAGCAGGCAGGCCACTGTGTAGAATTACAAACATATCCCCAGTGTGTGCACCAATTTCCCCATAAAGGTGATAACAGTTGTACATCATGCAGCAAGTGTTGCATATTGGGTGGGAGGCAACTTCATGACAAAGGGTTCATTTGTTCAAGTACAGTGAGACTGCTACATGCAGACAATCTGACATATAGGGACATTTATTTTTTTAATCAAAAAGGTCTGACAAATGGACACTGACTTGGCATGTGGACATTGCATGATAAAATTGCCAATACATTTCAAGAGAATTGACTTATTATAGGCTTGATTGCAAGAAACAGATATCTCCAACCGTCGTAGCCAAGAGAAATTCTTTGGTATTTCTCCCATCCATTTAGCTAATTGATAAAATTATCTCAAGCATAGAGGAACTTCCTTCTCTCGTGGCAACTTGAATGTTATTTTTACAGATGGCAACATTTATATATGTACTGTACAGAGGTGCACTATTCAATGCTCCACATGTTCTCATTGAGTTGGAAAGATATTCACTGAATCAAATTCAAGTGGCTAACAATTCTCTCATGGGATTCTGAGGAATATTTCTTCCATAAAACACCAATTAAAAATTATATAATGTAAGTCTGTGGGAAAAGAAGACTAAACTTAGGGACACCCTTGATTACATCTTCATCTGGGGGCTTTGTTTAATCCTACACATCTTTCCAAAAAGCATCAATAATTGCATTGTTATTTGTGCTTTTCTCTGTCTTGCTGGGTTAAAAAAATTATTGCAAGAGTTGCTCTGCTGAAACTTTTCAGTCATGGAAAAGGTTTCAGCCTGGGGAAAATGGTCAAATTGGGACATGGGGTTTTAAATACTGTACTGTACATTTTTTTTCTGAGGAAATTCAGGCAGGAACTGCATAAAATAATGACATAGATAGATATCTAACTCACTATCATTGGGGTTTCATACATTGAGGTTCAACGCACTGATGTATACTTTAAATATTGGTACATGGTACAATCAGCTCAATTCACATATTACAGCAATTAAATATTAATGTATTTTGAAGACAATTTTTCCCAGCAGCGACATTCTTGTCATCTGAAACTTTTACAATTTCCCTTCCCAAGAAATTCGTTATTTACCAAAGAAAAAATTTCCTTGAACATTTTTCATGTTTGCTGTGCCTAAGAAAAATTCATTTCCAGAATAAATTCAGTTAACTGTGAATCGACTCATTCGAGACGAGCGGATTTTAACGCAGGTATTCCATGGACGTGTGTGCAGATGAGGTGCGGGCTCTGGCAGCATTGATGACGTTCAAGTGCGCAGTGACTGACGTACCTTTTGGGGGTGGGAAAGCTGGACTGAGGATTGATCCCAAGAAGTACAGTGTTGGTGAATTAGAACGCATTACAAGAGGTATGAATCCCTGGACTACTTTTCCTGTATTCGTAGTTTCTTCTGGGTGCAGTGCACAAGTGGGAGGAGAAAGATGAGTCTTTCCAGCAGGCAGCATATATAATTCTTGGATGGAGCCAAGGGAGAATTAAGCTATGTATACTGTACAGTATACTTTCATTGGAATTGCAATGCATAGCTTCCATTAAGTTATTTACTTTAGTAGATGGTTCTTCAGTCGAAATGGAACATTGAGATATTGTGTTCAATCCACTTGAAAATTTGTAGGTTCTCTATGGAAAAATACATCATGCTGGTACTGCAGGCTTGCATAGTGTGGATGACAAATACAGTACCTTACTGGTTAGCCTCTTCCTCTCAAGATGTTCGTAGATGTCGCTCGTACGTAACCTGTTGCGAGATGCTAGCATGTAGTGGTCCTTACTCAGCCGAAATAGGTTTGGAGGAAAACACTGTATGCCCAAATTTGTGGGGAATAGGGCATGTGTTCTTCGTCAGCTGCACATACAGCATACCTTTCGTGATACGCGACGCGTACAGCACGCGATAAAAGCTGAAATTTCCGGGAATGTGATGTACATCCGTTTCGGGCTGCCGTGTTACTTTCGGATAGTGGTTGAAGTGTGAAGAATCATTCCCTCTCGGATCTACAGGCTTCGCCATGGAGCTCGCGAAGAAGGGCTTTCTTGGCCCGTCCATAGACGTGCCAGCTCCCGATATCGGCACCGGCGAACGCGAGATGTCCTGGATTGCGCACACATTCGCCCAAACTATCGGTCATGCGGAACTGAATGCCGCTGCCTGTGTCACTGGCAAACCCATCAATCAAGGTGGTATTCACGGTCGAGTATCGGGCACAGGACGCGGAGTGTTCCACGCCGTAGACCAATTCATCAAGAACGAGCAGTGGATGAGCCAGTGCGACTTGACCCCTGGGTGGCCGGGCAAGACTTACGTGTGTCAGGGCTTTGGTAATGTTGGCTTCCACACATGTCGGTACTTTTCGAGGAAGGGAGCCAAATTGCTGGGTGTTGTGGAGTACAATTCGGCGTTGTTCAATAAGGACGGGATCGACCCCGTTGACTTGAAGGATTACGCAGACTCGAATAATGGCTCTATCAAAGGGTATCCGAAAGCTGAGGAGTCTCCCAAGGTTTATCATAGCGTTAATTCATTTTTCACGAATGTTGAGCATGTCAATGAAGTATTCTTGATTCATAAGCTTGTATAATCGCATCCGGTAGGGAAATGATCTGATCTACCACGAATGTGATATTTTCGTCCCGGCTGCCGTGGAGCAAGTCATCACCAAGGACAACGCCGCGAAGATGAACTGCAAGATGATCGCCGAAGGAGCAAATGGTCCTCTGACCCCGGCTGCGGACAAAATCCTTATTGACAAGAAAGTGCTGATCGTGCCAGACTTATTTTGCAACGCGGGTGGCGTGACAGTGTCCTATTTCGAGTGGCTCAAGAACCTGAACCACGTGTCGTATGGCAGGTTGCATTTCAAGTACGAACGGGACTCGAACTTCCTGCTTCTCGGCTCAGTTGAAGAAAGTTTAAGAAATATCCTGGAAAGCGCTGGCATAGATTCGAAGCTTGTGAAAATATTGCCGACGCATGAGTATATGATGAAAATGTCTGGAGCTAGTGAACGAGATATCGTGAACAGTGGGTTGGAGTATTCCATGGAGAGGAGCGCCAAGGCCATTATGAAAACCGCATTTAAGTACAATTTGGGCCTGGATTTGAGAGTTGCAGCTTACGTGAACGCGATCGAGAAGATCTTCGACACTTACAGACATGCCGGGCTAATTTTGGCGACGTAGTTCTTGCCGAGTGCTTTGTTGAATCTTTGTTATTGTTGCCTGTGTTCCAGGATTAAAAAGTGTTCGATTACTCGTAAAGAAATGTGATGATGATCGATGGTGAAAAAGTGAGGTAATTATTCCTCGTGCGGTGTGATTGTGGATTATATGTTGTGAATTCATGGTGAGGCTCGTGATTTTGGGAAATTCATTTGATTCAAGGACATGAATTTTGACGCTCAAGTTTAAAAGCTCCCGTTTCCTGAGGACGGTGTCCTATTTTGTTTTCTTCAAATCTGATTGGAAATGCATTTCATGTGAACGCGATCCTAACGATTTTAATTGCATAGTAAGTGAAGTGAATAATATGGCATGGCACTTGAATAATACACGTTCAAGTGATGATTCGGTGGGTCACCTCTCGTGTACAAGTGCCAACTTTTTTAGTGCGTATTATATTTCCGTGCGGATGTGGAAAGGATTTTTTTATTACTATATTATACTTTAACGTGTGCAGGAGTGTTGGTTGTAGATGAGATTGTTTTCTAAATCCTTCTCTCGATGAATTAGATATCTTCTCGTCTCAGGTGACCTAATATTTAATTGTGTCAGTGGTCCGTCGAATGAGCTGAGATTTGTTGTTCAGAAGGATATTGAAGTGATCTTCTGTGTCTTTGGGGGAAGAAAAAAAAACATGGACGAAAATGAGGAGGCTCAGGAAGCGTTTGTGCGACAGACTGCGAGCGTAAGTCGTTTCTTCCCATTTCTCCCTCGCATTGAAATATTTTCTACCTGAATTTGTACATGCAGTATTTTGATGTTTTTATGCCTTTCAGATGGTTCAGCTGAAAGCAGAGTTGGCTCGAAAGCAGAAGGAGGCTGAAGAACGCCGCACGGAACGAGACGTGCAGGAGCCGGACAGATTAGCTAGGCTGAAACAACTCAGTGAATCCAAGAAAGTGAAAAAGGCAGAGGATTCTGGAACGGAAAAACAGTTCGACGATGGACTGAGTTCCGAAGGAGAACAGGATGCGATTTCCTCGGGAGCTTACAAGTCAGTGAGAAAATCAATCATCAAGTTGACATTAATTTTTGCTTGGAATCATTTCTTGTTTGTGATGCCTTTGGGGTCCTTAGACGTGGGCTGATGAGTTCCCACTGGCAATGTTAATTTAATCTCGTTTTCTGCAAGCCATGATTCTTTATCAACGGATGACTTTTATTTTTTACTGTTTACGTTTTTTTTTTTTTCAAAAAATTTTTAACTACTCAAAACGTGATTTCTTTTTTGCTGATTTTTTTTTATTCAAGTTCCATTTTGAAGTTCACCTTTGTCTTTTAGCTTGAGTTACGATCATTATACGATTTACGATTATTTGTCTCCATTTTTCTGCATTATTGAACGTGAAATGTTCAATTTCTTAATTTGATGGAAATTATGATTCCCTCGCAGGAAGAAACTCGAAGAAAAAGCCCGTTTGTACGAGAGCCTGAGTAAAGATCGATCGACGATTGGAGATGAGATCTTGTCGGAGGTTTCCCTGGTGGATTTCGAGCGGAAAAATATTGAAGATTTGCGTCACTCCCGAAGTCCGGAACGAAGAAATGAAGCTGTGGAAGACTTGCCCTTCGTGAAGCCCGTGGAGGAGCGCAGAGGACTTTCCACCAAAGATCGTGCTTGGGAGAACCCGAGGCAGAAGGAAGGGAGTGTTCATTACCAGGACGTTCTTCAAGATGGTTTGTGTCTTTTAATTTATTGACCTTCTCTGATTAATTTTTTTTAATACTGTATCAACCCTTGATTTATTGCTGTCATTGCATAGTGACAGAAAATTCCCTGAAAAAAATCTCACTCCTCGTATTCTTGAGGAAAACCATGCTGTAGTGTTCCGTGAAATTTCTTTTCCTGGATGAAAGAAGGGCCATAATCAGAAAAATTGACCCCCCTATGAATTTAATGAGAGCTTTTCTGGAAACATGGGGGATTTCGGCATTATGGCACCTGATAAAGAACTCGGACAGAACTTTATGAAATAATTTGGCTCTTTTACTAGACTCAATATTTGTAAAAATCTAATGTATTCTGTGCAGCGAAATCTCTTTACAAAGAAGCCCCCGGGTACCGGATTAAAAACCCCCATAACGAAAAATTGGTTGCATTCATGGTTTCAACACATAGACTGAAGTTTAGTGGGAGATGGGCAATGAATACTTCGAAGGGCTTTCAGAACAACTAATTCAAGACCCGTCATAAGTATTAAGTATGTCTGATTAAATGTAGAGACAACTACTGAAATAATTAGTACTTCCCCGGTACAGAAGTCGAACCTCTCGAAGTCGAATTTCAAGGGAACTGAAAAAAAATTCGACTTAGGGAGGTTTTGACTTTTATACGTTGGAAGTACAAGAAAAGGCCCCATTTTCTGGGAAACTCGAAAAAATGTAAATGGTAATATTCTGAGGCTTAAATGACCTCTTAAATGAGTTAAAAGGCTGCTGAACTTGAAAGCAGGGGTTCATTGGCCCAAATTAAGTCTTTCACTTCTTTTAAAACTTTTAAATTTATGGGTTTTTTGTTTTTTTCTTTCTTTATTCAAGAAAATAATCGTCAACAGGCCACAGAAAATTCGACTTATGGAGGTTTGAGGGGAAAGCTTTCGACTTAAGGAGGTTTTTACTCTATTGGTTCTAAGGGAATTCAAATGGGACCTGAAAAAAAATTCGACTTAAGTGGGTATTTGACTTATCGAGGTTCACCTGTATATGGAAATACGGTTGAGCTTCAAATTTTTTCGTGGCTGTCTCTCTCACGAAACAGACTCAGCGGCCAAACAATTCTGTGAACTAGCTTATTTTGCCTACAGGAGAAACGCTCAAGTGAACCTTTCTCTCGTACGATCCCTCAATTCAGAGCCACCCTTTCTCGGAGGCTCAAAATGTCCAAGGACGAACACCGAGACTAAATCGAGGTTTTGACTGTAATTATTCATTTTTATTTTTTTGCAGAGGTTCGTGACCACGGCGTCGGTTATTACGCCTTCTCGACGGACGAAGCCACGAGATTGCTTCAGCAACAACGACTGGACGAGCTGCGAAGGTCTACGAAGGCTGCTCGTTCGAAAGCCGTAGACACGGCTGCGGAACGGAAACTAGCTTTGGAAGAACGCTTGCGGAAAGTGCGGCAACGGAAGCGATTGCGGGCCGGGTTGCCCCTGACTGAAGAAGACCTAGAAGATGCCCCCCCGAAACCCGCGGAAATTATCCCGACGAAGGAAGAGTCGGTTGATGCGGAGCAAAAAGAGGAGGAGGAAGGAGAAGAGAAGGAAAGCGTTGAGAAGAAAAAGAAGAAGATTGTGAGGCCTTGGGACTTCGGGAAGATCGGTGTCAAGATGGGCATAGGTTGGTAATTTTTCTGGGATTTGGTTTCGCTGTAGCTGTTGAGTGATGAAGGACGCATTTTTCTTGGGGGGTGTATTTCTGACGTTTCATGCGTCAAACTGTCCCCAGAAATAACTTGATGAGGTTTATCTTGAAGAACGTCTACGGAAAATTTTGTGGAGTTCAACTTTTAAAAGATTTACTGACTTCACGAGTTGAACTCTTCGATTTTACGAAAATATTCACCTTCACTTCACCTTGAAGTAAGATAAGATTGAAAGAATTCTCGGGAGGGGTTTTCCCCTTTACGGTAAGAATTGTTCCAAATTATTCAGTATGAAGAGTGACGTCTAGTGAAAGGGTCGAATAAAAATGGCGGTGAAAGGAGAAAAGACTTCGCGGGAAAGCTTATTCAGTCGAATGGAACATTTGTGAAAAAGTTTCTCTTATTTTATTTTTCCTGACTGTGTCAAACCTTCTAAAAAATGTAGTACGAAGTTTTAAGATGAAGCATCCGTCGCCCATTTGTTTTTATGTTTTGCCTTCTTTTCTGAGAAACCAGTTCATTTCCACTGGTCTCAACATAAAACAGATCTTCATGGAATGAGATCCGATCACGTTGGAAACACCTGTGTTCGCTTTTGAATACTTGCGAGCTCTTGGAAAATTGAATCTTCGAGATAAACTGTTGGCTTTATTTGATTTCTCCTCAAAGATTCTCTGTAATTTGTTCATTCAATTAAACCTCATACAGAAACAAGCTGAAGACCTTGTGCTTTAAATTAATTTTTACCTATGTTTTGTTACCAATGTCAGGGAAGAATGGGTGTATGCATACATTTCAGATGTCCAGTTTTATTTCATGATGTATTGTATTTTCTTATATTTTTGTTATCAATTTGTGCTTTCCTGCTCTGAAGTGATTGAAATGTCACTGAGTGGATTTGGGTTGGGTGGGAAGGGGGTTTGGTTGTGGAACTTTTGATTGAAACTTGTGAATGCTGAAAAGCGGCAAATTAAGTGTTCCGTTCATTCATTCATGAAAAAACTTGGCTCTTTTACTAGACACAATATTTGTAAAAATCTAATATATTCTGTACAGCAAAATCTTGTTACAAAGAAACCTCTGGGTAACGGAGTAAAAACCCCCGTAACAAAAAATTGGTTGCATTTATGGGCTTAAAACATTATAGACTGAAGTTTAGTGGGACTTGGGCAATGAATACTTGGAAGTGCTTCCAGAACAAGTAATTCAAGACCCGTCATAATCAATAAGTATTTCTGATTAAATGTAGAGACAACTACTGAAATAAGTAGTACTTCCCCAGTACAGTATATGGAAATACGGCTCAGCTTCAAATTTTCTTCGTGGCTTTCTCTCTCATGAGGTCTGTCAGACTCAGCTGCTGAACAATTCTGTAAGCGAGCTTTCTTTGCCTACATGAGAAACGCTCAAGGGAACCTTTCTCTCGTACAATCCCTCAATTCAAAGCAACCCTTGCTCGGAGGCTCAAAATGTCCAAGGGACAAACACCGACACTAAAATTTCTCTATAAAAAATGATTAAATTTTGAATATTATTCATATATTTGTTAATGTTTTGCAGAGGTTCGTGACCACGGCGTCGGTTATTACGCCTTCTCGACGGACGAAGCCACGAGATTGCTGCAGCAACAACGACTGGACGAGCTGAGAAGGTCTACGAAGGCTGCTCGTTCGAAAGCCGTGGACACGGCTGCGGAACGGAAATCAGCTTTGGAAGAACGTTTGCGGAAAGTGCGGCAACGGAAGCGATTGCGGGCCGGGTTGCCCCTGACTGAAGAAGACCTAGAAGATGCCCCCCCGAAACCCGCGGAAATTATCCCGACGAAGGAAGAGTCGGTTGATGCGGAGCAAAAAGAGGAGGAGGAAGGAGAAGAGAAGGAAAGCGTTGAGAAGAAAAAGAAGAAGATTGTGAGGCCTTGGGACTTTGGGAAGATCGGTGTCAAGATGGGCATAGGTTGGTAATTTTTCTGGGATTTGGTTTCGCTGTAGCTGTTGAATGATGAAGGACGCATTTTTCTTGTGGTTTATTTTTGACGTTTGATGCGTCAAGCTGTCTCCCAGAAATAACTTGATAAGGTTTATCTTGAAGAACGGAAAATTTTGTAGAGTTCAACTTTTAAACGATTTACTGACTTCACGAGTTGAACTCTTCGGTTTTACGAAAATATTCACATTTTGAACGAATTTTCGAAAATAGTCCAGGGCATTGAAGTAAGATAAGATTAAAAGGATTCTCGGGAGGGGTTTTCCTTTTTCCGGTAAGTGTTGTTCGAAATTATTCAGTATGAACAACTACGTCGAGTGAAGGTGTGGAGAAAGAGGAAAAGACTTCGCTGGAAAGCTTATTCAGTCGAATGGAACATGTGTGAAAATGTTTCTCTTATTTTATTTTCGCTGACTGTGTCAAACCTTCTAAAAATATGTCGTACAAAGTTTCAAGATGAAGCATCTGTCGCCCGTTTTTTTTTTTTTTTCTTTTCCTTCAAAGACTCTTTGGTCAAGTAAAGGTGACCAGAGTTGTATTTTGTCTAGAAGTACCTTACTCTAGGCTAGTGCAACCTTTGTGGACACAAGCGAAAACTTATGAACGCTCGAGAACCTTTTAACTTAGCGAACTAGATAAATGAAAGAGATTAATTTTCTTATTTTTATTCAGAATACACTGAGAAGTGTTGGTTTCGGGAGCGACGGGAAGAAAGGTTATCAGACTTCGCACCGCCTCCGACGTACGCAGCGGAGAAAACGGAGGGTCTCTCCAAAAAGCCGTTTTCTCGCACGAAAGAAACGCCCGAATTCAACTCAGTGGCGCCTCCTTCGAGCTATGCTACCGACAGACAAAAGCCTCGTTTGCCGGATGTCCAGCATGGGATTGACGAAAGCTGCGACGACGACGAGAGTGATGAGAACGATTACGGTCCGTTGCCGGCGCCGGCGCCGAACATGACGTTGGAGGCGGCAGCGGGAGGCGCCGAATCGGAGGATGCACTGGCGGCTTCGCTGGCCGCCGCGAGGAAGAAGTGGGAGCAGTCGCATTCGACTTGAATGTTGCTGAAACCTGCTGGTTTTTTTTTTTTTTTTCGGGTCTTGGCCGGTTTTTTTGATAGGCTGTGATTGTGATATGTGCGATTTTTTGCAGATGGAGTACGTTTGGGAATGGTAGAAAAAATTAAAATAGTGATGCTCCTTTCGAAGCAAATGCGTTTGGGAATTTTTCACAAACATGATTGAAAACGCAAGGCTTTTGCGAAGAAGCACTTTATTTAGGTTCCCAGAAAACTTCTTTCAATTTCCTACACGTTTAATCAGAACAAAAATCCGTAATATTAGAAAAGGTGTTAAATTCGTGCGGTATTTTTTTTATGCTGTGACGCTGAATCGTCTTTCAAACAAATTTACGAATTTGTTGGAAAATTTGAACAATCAGTCTTTATCTAACGTTATTCTGTGGAACTTGCTTTTTTTTCATGAAATTATCTCGACAACATGTGTAACTATTTTTTTTTGCTCTCATAAGGTTCTTTAAGAACACATTTTCTCTATAACGAATAATTTTCTAATCCTGTGAGTTTCGCTGCAAAAAGAGTCCACCTGTGATTTATTCCTGTAAAGGCAAAAATCGGAATATTATTCTTGTTCGGTTCACTATTCTGAAATAGCCGCGGTTTTCATGGCATAAAGCATCCAAAAATGCATAAAGCGAGTATTGAATAGACCCTCTGGCTTTGAGGGAGTACATTATCCGAGGCAAACGTCAGCAGCAGCTCATAAGTGCATTATTGAAGAATTCAAAATAAAGCAATTGGTTTTTTTTTTTTAGCAACTTCCCAGTTTTCTTGAGAATTCATTTCCCGAAAGCCCTGTGTTTTTATCGTGAAAGAATTCAGAATTTCTGTTGATGTTTCTACGTCATTGCAGTTTTTTCTTTTTTATTGGCAGGTTCAAAGCAAAATATGTCGTGAAGAACCGCAGCAACAAGAGTGTGAGAAAAGAAAAAAAATCATGAACAACCTCAGGTTAGCGTTTCGCGCCGCGAAGTTGCTTCTCGTCGCGCCGAAAACCCCAACCCGTCCGACTTGGACCCAAATTCGCCTTCTGGGCTCCACAAACTCCCTGTGCAAGTCCGAAGACGTCAAGGCCATGCTCAAGTCGTTGCCGAAACGCGACGAGGGCGTCGACGGGGAACGCGACACGGAATTTGACCCGCATTTCCGCCACGACGTTGCGTTTCCCGACGCCGACACGCCGAACCGCCTCTTCAACGGCGTCCCGTTCTCGCAGCTGCCCATCATGTGCGTGCGGGCCACCAAGAACAACACGCACATGGTGCTGGCCAACTCGGAGCACACGATCATGTGGCGGCGGTCGTGCGGGCAAGAGGGATTCAAAAAGTGTAGGAAGGGCACGAATGTGGCGGCCCAGACGACGGCGATCGGGATGGCGAAGAAGGCCTTGGACTTGGGAGTGACGCAGGTGATCTGCACTTTTGTGAAACGCGTTGTGTTGCACATGTTGCAATGCGTGCGAGTCAGATCATATTTTCCTTAAAAATCAAAAACTTCAACGAGAATACAGGAGTAAAATCTCATTAAAACAAACTTTTAGGAATTTTTAGGAGAAAGTGTGTCTTTACTGAATATAGTGAGGGTCTTGGTTAACATACCCTGGTTTACAATTTTTTTTGGTTATCAAACTTTGTGTTTGGGCCTCAGCTACCTTGGCCAACAAATCCTGACTTGGTTTACAAACTTTGGTTGCTTTGGGTCACAATTTAAAAGAAAAAAAGCTTGTGATCACCTGCTTTTTATTAGTCTTCCAAAAAATTTTAAATAGAACAATTACGTAACTAGTCTTCACAAAGTTACACTTTAAGACGTAACCAGTGTACTTTTCTTAGAAAATTAAAGTTGGAAGACTAACAAACTGTTACTTTCATGTGAGCCAGCATTTTTTTCTTACATTTTTAAGAAAGTCAGAATTGTTCTAAATGCCCAAGAGTGGGACAACTCAAGTAATTTGAAATTGAAAATTTTCAAAGGGCGGTTGTCCTTCAGTGAGTTTATCTCATTCTTCATCAAGCACAGTTCTTGAATTCTTGGTCCGGTGAACATTTTTGAAGACACATTTTCTTGGGCACTTTCAATGTCTTGGGATTAGTTAAGCTTATTTCTGTGCTTTCTTGAGGGAAAATGGGATTTGGTTACCAATCTTTGCTCAGGAACAGATCAAGTATGTAAACCAAGAACCCGCTGTATTTTGTTATGATTGTTGTTTTGTAATTTTACTTACCAGAACACTGGAATGTTTCAATTTCACTCACAGTATGTCTGGAATAGTTTTGTTTTATTCCAGGAAGATCAAATTTTGATTTATTAGAGAACATAGTATTGTTTTTGCGCTCTCCCGTGGCTTTAAAATTTTTGAAGTTTTTTAATCGCTTCCCAGGCTATCGCACCGTTTTTCACTTGAAGACTGTTCTTATTACATCAAAATTTGCAGATGTTTTGTGTTACATTACACTTTAATTGATTTTAACATTATTTAGGTTAGAGTCAAGCTAAGGGGCTTTGGAGCCGGGCGTTTGGCGGCTGTGAAGGCGTTTGAAATGGCGGGCTTGGATGTGGTGTCTCTGACGGATGTGACTTACATCAACTGGAGGAATAATCCGAGGGCGAAGAAACAGCGGCGACTCTGATTTCTTGATTTTGTTGTGTGTTTTTGAAAGTGTTATTGGAAGCCAGGTAGTTGTTTCTTGTGGGGGAAGTGAATGAAAGTGTTCCATGATGCTGTGCTGCAGATTTTACTTGGGGGTAGTTTGAATGTCTGGAAGTGTTTTCAGGATTGCTAGTGGGGAACATTAATTTCATATTAGTTGTTAAAAAAAATTTTGAATCAACAGCTCAGATAAGCTGGAAACAGTGTACTGTACTCCCATCCCACCTGTGCACTACATGTACCTTGCCTAGCATGGGTGCCTTGCCTAACAAATTCCATGAAAAAAGAAATTGACTGTGCACTTGGCGTGTTTTTTCAATGCAAAAATCTTTAATTTTTTAATTAGCCAACTTCAATGAACAAATTTTCATTTTTTATCCCAGAGGTTCTTCAAAAAAATACAGGGAAGTGTTTCTGTTGTAACACAGAAAAGATTGAATGCTGTACAGAAGTGTGAGAGGCAGACCAAACGGATGTACAATACAGCATTCTGTGGGTACCATGTTCTACAAAACTGATCATTGGGTTGGTATTTTTGTTGGGTGAAATTTGTGTTATGTGAATATTCATTTAATTTAAGATGCAGTTGAATTTCTTGACTATCATCACTGAAATTCAAATTCTATCAAATTATGACATCAAGAAAATATCAACCCATCATTTTATTTGGTGACAGCTGAGTGACTCAGAGAATTAATAATTTGACACTCTTGCACAGATTCTTCCAGAATTTTATCTCTAGATATTAACCAAGAATTAATATTGCATTTTTTGATTTAGAAAAACCCTTTTTAGGAATCCTCAATTGTCCTACACATTTATATTTCCATTTCCTAGATTTTCTTGGGGTTATTTAGCTCTGTAATTAAGCCATTCCTCCTTCAGAGATACTGCAGAACTGTCATTAGCATATGTAGTACCCTGTTCCTGGCCTGTACATTATCAGATCATGATAGCATCTGAAAATAATTGCATGCAATCCTGTAACATTTGATCATGTACACTGTAGTACAGTACCTATGCAGATTCAAATTGTTCATGTCCATACCATGGTAATTGGAGTATTGCTGCAGGTGCACCTCTCTACTTCCGAATTTTGGAAGAAAGCAAATCAGGGATTCTGATCAGTGCTGAACAAACTTGTAAATGAAAAGATGACAGGTGTTTGGTGGAGCACTGGGACGTGCTAGGCAAAAAACCACCACATCTTGAACAGGTTCATTATAGTCAGACTGGTACTGCCATCTGACTGCACTTCTAATCTCTAATGCGCTTGGCAAAGCGATTCCGAATGAATTGCGCTGAAGCTTCTGTGTGGAATATCAAAATCAGTGCTATCAAAATCAGTGAATGCGCCTTGAATTAAAGTGTTCTTGCATTATTAATAAAAGCATAATATCGAATAATTTATTTCTGAATTTATTTCCATCCGACATCGTTGTTGCGTGATTCCATAATCAAGATTATGAAACTTTTTTTTTCCGATCCAGGGCTCTCAATGTGGTGCTGATTATCACTGCGTTGCCTCTTAGGAGGCGAACGAATACTTCCAGGATGTCTCTGCCCGCCGTAAGCGTTGACTCCGGTGCCGGAACATCGTCAACAAAAGCGAAGAAGAGAATTTCCGCCAATTCCACTACACCTCCTTCTCACAAGCCTAAGCGACACCCACCAGTTTCTCCAGCTTCAAGCCCAANAACAAATCCTGACTTGGTTTACAAACTTTGGTTGCTTTGGGTCACAATTTAAAAGAAAAAAAGCTTGTGATCACCTGCTTAAATAATCAGAAGGTTTTTTAAAATTTATCTTGTTAATGCATTGATCAGAAGTGTTTCAATGTGAAATTCTGCATTGGTCACATGAAAAGAATCTTTTAATTTCAACCTTCTGATTGTTTGACAATGCTTCATGTGAGCCAGCATTTTTTTCTTACATTTTTAAGAAAGTCAGAATTGTTCTGAATGCCCAAGAGTGGGACAACTCAAGTAATTTGAAATTGAAATTTTTAAAATGGCGGTTGTCCTTCAGTGAGTTTATCTCATTCTTCATCAAGCTCAGTTCTTGAATTCTTGGTCCAGTGAACATTTTTGAAGACACATTTTCTTGGGCACTTTCAATGTCTTGGGATTAGTTAAGCTTATTTCTGTGCTTTCTTGAGGGAAAATGGGATTTGGTTACCAATCTTTGCTCAGGAACAGATTAAGTATTTAAACCAAGAACCCACTGTATTTTGTTATGATTGTTGTTTTGAAATTTTACTTACCAGAACACTGGAATGTTTCAATTTCACTCACAGTATGTCTGGAATAGTTTTGTTTTATTCCAGGAAGATCAAATTTTGATTGATTAGAGAACATAATATTGTTTTTGCGCTCTCCCGTGGCTTTAAAATTTTTGAAGTTTTTTAATCGCTTCCCAGGCTATCGCACCGTTTTTCACTTGAAGACTCTTCTTATTACATCAAAATTTGCAGATGTTCTGTGTTACATTACACTTTAATTGATTTTAACATTATTTAGGTTAGAGTCAAGCTGAGGGGCTTTGGAGCCGGGCGTTTGGCGGCTGTGAAGGCGTTTGAAATGGCGGGCTTGGATGTGGTGTCTCTGACGGATGTGACTTACATCAACTGGAGGAATAATCCGAGGGCGAAGAAACAGCGGCGACTCTGATGAGGGTGCATTTCTTGATTTTGTTGTGTGTTTTTAAAGGTGTTATTGGAAGCCAGGTAGTTGTTTCTTGTGGAGGAAGTGAATGAAAGTGTTCCATGATGCTGTGCTGCAGATTTTACTTGGGGTAGTTTGAATGTCTGATAGTGTTTTCAAGATTGCTAGTGGGGAACATTGATTTCATATTAGTTGATAAAAAAAATTTCTGAATCAACAGCTCAGATAAGCTGAAAACAGTGTACTGTACTCCCATCCCACCTGTGCACTACATGTACCTTGCCTAGCATGGGTGCCTTGCCTAACAAATTCCATGAAAAAAGAAATTGACTGTGCACTTGTGCACTTGGTGTGTTTTTTCAATGCAAAAATCTCGAATTTTTTAATTAGCCAACTTCAATGAACAAGTTTTCATTTTTTATCCCAGAGGTTCTTCAAAAAAATACAGGGAAGTGTTTCTGTTGTAACACAAAAAAGATTGAATGCTGTACAGAAGTTGCTCTCCGTCTGGTTTGCCTACATGTTATGTCGTAAGACACCCATGGTACAAGATGTTTTGACTAGTAACCCAACCATAAAAACAACCCACTTTAAACACAATACACTTATAAGTAAATTAAATTCTAGCAGTTGAATTTCTTGACTATCATCACTGAAATTCAAATTCTATCAAATTATGACATCAAGAAAATATCAACCCATCATTTTATTTGGTGACAGCTGAGTGACTCAGAGAATTAATAATTTGACACTCTTGCACAGATTCTTCCAGAATTTTATCTCTAGATATTAACCAAGAATTAATATTGCATTTTTTGATTTAGAAAAACCCTTTTTAGGAATCCTCAATTGTCCTACACATTTATATTTCCATTTCCTAGATTTTCTTGGGGTTATTTAGCTCTGTAATTAAGCCATTCCTCCTTCAGAGATACTGCAGAACTGTCATTAGTATATGTCGTGACAGCATATGTAGTACCCTGTTCCTGGGGACATGTAATAGTCTAGTACTATCGTAGACTTTTATTAACGTACGTTAGGACATTGTAAACTAGTACATGTGACATCATGTCATGGATACGTCTAAGTTTAACAAGTACAGGTATGGTACCATTAATGAGTATTGCTGCAGGTGCACCTCTCTACTTCCGAATTTTGGAAGAAAGCAAATCAGGGATTCTGATCAGTGCTGAACAAACTGGTAAATGTAAAGATGACAGGTGTTTGGTGGAGCACTGGGACGTGCTAGGCAAAAAACCACCACATCTTGAACAGGTTCATTATATTCAGCCTGGTACTGCCATCTGACTGCACTTTTAATCTCTAATGCGCTTGGCAAAGCGATTCCGAATGAATTGCGCTGGAGCTTCTGTGTTAAAAGCTATCAAAATCAGTGAATGCGCCTTGAATGAAAGTGTTCTTGCATTATTAATAAAAGCATAATATCGAATAATTTATTTCTGAATTTATTTCCATCCGACATCGTTGTTGCGTGATTCCATAATCGAGATTATGAAACTTTTTTTTTTCCGATCCAGGGCTCTCAATGTGGTGCTGATTATCACTGCGTTGCCTCTTAGGAGGCGAACGAATACTTCCAGGATGTCTCTACCCGCGGTAAGCGTTGACTCCGGTGCCGGAACATCGTCAACAAAAGCGAAGAAGAGAATTTCCGCCAATTCCACTACACCTCCTTCTCACAAGCCTAAGCGACACCCACCAGTTTCTCCAGCTTCAAGCCCAATCTCGTGGTCCGAATTAACAGAAGTCGCCTTGACTGCTAAATGCCTCTGTTTGTGCCCCGATCGCTCAAGAGTAATCTCCGCCGAAGCGAACATTCTCGACAAACTCACCGGTCTCGAAACGTGCCTGACACTGCTTAAGCGGCAGAAAACCGCCGGTTTCTTGTGTTCATCCCTCGCAGAATTCGTTGAAAGCTTTCTAACGGAAGCTGAAGACCCACCGGAGGAATCCCTGGTCAACGTCAGTCTGTGCTCAGAAGACCCTTTTATTTCATATGCTGCGAGCAGAGCTGCTCTTTCACTGTTCCGCTTTAAGAAGTCTTATGCGATTACTGGATTTCATCGCATTCTGCGTTATCTGACGAATCGGAGCATCGAGCAACCGACTGATGGTGGCGTTCTGAATTGTCTGCAACTGCTTCGGGAAGCTTGTTGTGTCAAAGAATCGAAAGAAGATGAGTCTGCGTGTCCTCCGGAGAGTTGCGAAATGTGTCTGGTTGAAAGTGACGAAGATAGCGACGAGAGCGAATTCAGTTTCGGGGAAAGCGAAGACGAGGTACCGTATTTCATTCCTGTTGTCTACTGTATACGTGTATTACTGTACTTCGAAATCCTGTCGCTCGTAAGACGTGGTTGAATTTGTTCGGAAAAAATTCTGATGACCAAAATCATTCGAGAATTCCCTGTACATTAAATTTTTCATCGTTTCTTGACTTTCTTCGGCTGATTCGTTGGATTGTTGGTTACTATTCGTTTAAAATCTGTCTGTAGTGCTGAAGCATCTTTCGTATTTCCTGAAGTAATTTTCGGTTGCAATTTTCTGACTGTTGCAAAAAATGTATCAGATTTTTCTGAATGAAATCTTATTTTCTGCAGGATGGAGAGCCGGCGAGCAAAAGGATCTGCTGGGATGCGTCTAACGTGAAGCTGACTTGTTTGGAAATTTTGGCGCGATTCTGGCCCAGAGTGGTTTCTTGTGCGAAAGCCCGGGGTCTGGCGACTTCTTCCGCATTCATGTCGCTGTGGACGACCCTAGTAGCCATTCATTCGAACGTTCCCGAGAAATGGGCTCGTGCTTTCGTTGCCCCATTGGCCGGGTTCTTGCCGGACCTGGCTGCATCCAGGGATGTAATTTCTTGGCGACATGGACTCGACGTTTACAATGAAGCCTTGTGTTACGGGAGCACGATCGCATTGCAGGAAGATGTTCCCGATGAGGCTTTGGCTCTTTCCAGGTGGGTGATGTTTTAGAAACAGAAATTTTCGACTCGGAAAACCCTGAAAAGGGAACATTTTTCCCATGAATTCTAAAAATAAAATACGGTGTGCTCAACGTAAAATATGGCGTGCCCTATGAGAAAATCCTTTCAAAATACGATTGTGACGTATCCAGTATGAACTTCGACATTTTTGAAAAGCCGTGCATTTTAATTTTTTTATTCGGGAAACAGTCAACCCTTGATGAGCCGGAGACCTCTTGAAGATTTTATTTGTGAATAATTTTGGCAGATTGCGTTTCAAGAGGGCCTCCAATGTTATTATCTTTAGGAAGATTTTGTTTTTCAAAATAAATCTTTGGTTGTTGAGGTTGGCTGGTTTTTATGCGGTTTGGCTGCACCAGTGAATTTGAGTATCGGGATCGTGAATAATTTCATGTGACATGCTGTTGTTTTTATTTATCGTAGAGTTGTTTTGAGGTCGATTGGAACGCTTCTCGTATCAGTGCCTTTAAACGAGGACTTCGCCGGTTTAGTGCCTTCGAGTTCCACAGAAGAGCCGTCGGTGTTGGTGTCCAAGACTGTGTTGCTTCTTCTCAAAGCCGCAGCAATCCGAACGAAAGCCGGAGACTCAGTTAGTGCCGAAGAACTCGGTGGAATGGATTCTTGGGTGAAAACCCGACTTCATTTCCATCCGGAAACGGAACCCGCGGATTGGATCGTTCGGGTTCTGTCATCCCAAGACGACGTGTTGGTCGAGTCCCTGGTGTGCCTGCTGGACATTTACACTGCGAACCCGTCGCCGGCGTTGTGTCCTCACGGGTCTTTCAAGGCCCTGTTGGAGACCCTCGGCTACGATTCCGCAGTGTTGCTGGATTATTTGGTATCGGACGACACGTACTTTTTGCTGTACCTCTTGCGGTACATGAAACTGGTGGCGAAAAGCACCGACGTATTCGTGAACAGAATGGGATCGGATTTCGGGAAAGTGGTGGAAGTGTTGCGGACCTTGCGCAAATCCTTGGCTTCGTTGACGCGACAGAAACTGTTTCCCTACAACGTCGGGCCTTTACTGAAAATACTGGATTGCTGTCTGTTGAAAATTGATGGTAGCTGATGCATTTTTTTTTTCTCTAGCGAGGAGAATGGATGGGAAGAAAAAAATTGCTTTGTTTGTTTTTGTATGTTATATTTGTGATTTCAGTATTATATTGTTGCCACGTTTATTTTTTTGGGAGCTGAAGCGAGTTTCTTTCAATTTAATGGAGCGTTTTATTCGGAACTTTTGAGAATGCTTATGCCTGTAGGTACTTTGGTTTTCTTTCTGGCAGAATTTTGTGTGTGTATGTGATCATGTGGTGAATTTCTGCGTTTCAAAAATCATGGTGAGTATATTTCGAGTATATGTTGTCCGTACTGTGGAATTCCAAGTGCCTTCGCTTCGATTTATCTGACTTTTAGTTCATTCAGAGGAGACAAATTAACATGTATGATTACTATGTCTTTACTCAAAAGACACGCGCACATTTTTTTTTGTTTCAAAATTGAAAAGAAAAAAAAGGTGCTCGTCATAGGTATAAAATTTTGAGAACATTTTAAAGTTTTGGTGCACCTCATACTTGACTCCAACAGGGAATTTCCAAACAACTCCACAGACAAATTAAAAAATGGAAATGATGAAAATTAACTTTCAATTTGGTCACATTTCATGTAAGAATTTAAATTCTGATTCATTTTATTTTATAAATACTGAACTTGCATTTTCAGAAACTTTAAATGATGTGGGCTTTTTACCCTGGTTTAAATTTTTTTGTTTTTATTTTAAGTTGAAGCAGTTGAGTGTGTGCCTTACTTGAGGATGTGTGGTATTCAACTAAATATAGTACAGTATTATTTTTTTAACTTTCTGATTAATTGATTATGCTGGCCAAAATACTTGAACATTTGTGATAATTTCTGAATTTGTTGGGTTATAATGTTGAATTAATCTCTTGTACAGTATATTTTTCCGCATAATTCAATTACCACTGATATTTGATTTTCTATTCAAAGGCGCCTGGTTATTAGCTCAGATGATGGATTTTAGTTTTTTGTACCTTCTGAAAACTATGCAGTGACATTTTTTAAAATTTGTGAGCGACAACCTTCAATTTTTTCTTTCATTTTATGCAAAATACTGTACGCATGATAATTTACCTAAGCTGTGATAATACCATGATAATTTACATAATTGATCCAAACTTTCACATAAATCATGAAAAATATATTACGTTAGTATTTTGTTGCATTGAATAGTATGGGACCTGGGGAAAAGCTTTTTAACAATAAAATTAAGATAGCTTTGTGACTCTTGCGCAGCGTTCTATAAAAATTCGTAAGGAATAATTCTTTATAATGATATTAGGTGCTTAGTTCGTGAACCTGGCCCAATACTGAACCCTTCTCTGGACCAATTCAATCCTCAACATTTCCTGATGAGTATCAAACGTGGTCGAAAAACAAGGACGTAACTAGCCAGTAAAATGAGGCATTATTAATTTGACGAAATTCCTGAATCAGAAATAAAATTTGCTAAAGCTAGTCTAACCTTCAAATTTGGGTTGAATGGTGAGTACAGATGCTTTTTAGGGAGAGCTTGACGAATATTTCACAGAACCTTTCCTGTGTTCCTCATTGATCCAGTTATGAAATTAGTGCATCATTTCGGGTTCCGTCATCGTTGAAATGTTCCCAACATTTTCCTTCTATTCGCTCCTCAGGACATTCGAAGATTTTTCAAGCCATTATCGTCCCCGAAACGCGGGGATGTTCCGGGAGAACCCGACGATGACAACAAACTCGCCAGGAAACGCAAGCGTTCCAAAGAACCCGGAGAACTGCCGAGGCGACGGAATCGCCTGCAATTGTTGGAGTCTTCTGACGAAGACGAAGAACCCGTCCAGGTCGCCACTAAGAAGTCCAGGGAAGAAAAGAAAAAGGAAACCAAGACTGTTCCTATCCCGAAGAAGGAGATTAATCCCCAAGAGTTTTTTGGCGCGTCCAAGAAGCCCGTCGCTGAAGAAAACGTGCACGAAGACGAAGCTTTCAAGGAAACGCTGAGGAAGCTTGAAAACTCCAGTGTGTCTGCCGGAAAAATATCTGCTGAAGTTAGCGCAGGTACAACACAATTTTCAAAGAAATTGATTCATATAATATATTGTATTCAGTATATTCTCGTTGAAACGAAACGTTTGAGACAGTGAAAATGCTTCGTTATGAATGAAAATTCGTTGAAACGAATTTAAAATGGCATCATGGCTATTGGACGGGTACCAGAAAGTACCGTATTTACTTGAGTACCACACGCACCTTTTTTCTCAAATTTCAAAAGGAAAACAGGGGTGCGCGTCATAAGCGGGTACAAATATTTCACAAAGTTTTAGGAACTTATGTGTGCATTATACTTGATTATACTGGAGAAATTTGGAACAAATTTAAAGACAAAAACTTTTTTTTACTGAAAAAGTTTAAAAATGATCAGATTTTTGTTCAATTCATGCTTCAAGTCAAATTTTTTGTTTTCATTTTCAAAATTTTGTGGTTTTAGATGCGCTAAAAATTGGGGTGCGTGTCTTATTTGGGGATAATTTTTTAGCAAAATTTCCAACTGAAAAACCCCTGTGCGCGCCTTCCTTGAGGGTGCTTGGTACTTGAGTAAATACGGTGAATAAATTCTTTGTAAGCATTAATCCTTTTTAAGGAAATTCTTTGTAACGAAATTTTACTGCACACATTGAGTCCCGGCATAACAAAAGACCTGAACAAAAAAAAATACGCGTGACGAACATTTTTGGAGGAAAACATGACCCTTATCAAAAAATTATTTCACATTAAAATATTTTTCGCCAATAAATGCCAAAATGTCAAAAGAGTTTTCAACTGGAACTTGGGAATTTTTAATAAATCAAGAAAAAAAATCATATTTTTGAATCTTCTTGTCTTTAAAATGTGAGAAATTCAGAAGGTTATGAGCAAGTTTTGACGGGATTACTTCAATTTCATCATTAACAATACAGTATTAAATTCACAATTTTCTGCTTGAAAACAAACTTCATGGTTTACTACTGTATTTTCCGGAGTTGATGGGACCGATTAAATCAATTTCAACGTAATCTCGAAAACGAACGCGTGTCACAAATAAAAAATTCGGCATAACGAAATTCATCCAGAAATCAAATTGTTTCATCATTCGGGGACCCACTGTGCTGTAATTATACGAGACCTTGAAGTGCGAGAAATCCACTTCGTTTTTTCATCGATACTAAAAATAGGAATGGGATTCATTTTTTTTTATTTTCAGAGAAATCAAAGACCGAGAAGTCGAAACACCGCGAGGCGTCAACTGAGAAATCGAAGAAGCACCGAGGTAAATCAAACGACAAGAATGGTGGTGATATAGACAAGGGCAAATCGAATGACAAGAAGGAAAAATCAGGCGAGAAACACGGGGAAACATCCGATGAAAAGAAAAAGAAGCGCCGAGAAACATCAGACAAATCCAAAGAAAAGATGCCTGGAAAATCTGACGAGAAGAAGAAGGAAACGCCGAAGGCTGATTCTCCGAAACCCGTTTCGAAAGAGAAGACGCCTACGAGGACTGAAGAATCCCGTTCTGCTGCGATCCGAACCCCGAGCACGGGGACTAAAGCGCAGCCAGACGATGATTTCACTGATGCCAATTCGGAGAAACGGAAATCGAATTATTTGAATTATCAGAAGTATCTTCAGCGAAGTGGCCCTCGGAATCCTGGAACCAAAACCGTACCCGAGGTTCATTCATTTACTGGAACTACTTTCATAATTTTTCTTTTATCACAATCATCACTTTCAATTCAATAATCAGCAAGACGTTCAAGTGCTTTCATGAACAGTATTTTGAAGAACGCCGTACGAAGATATTTTTTTAATCACTAACGCATACATTTCCAGCATCGAAATTTTCAATTTTTTCTTGGAAGGAAGTTTCACTCCTGTCTCCTGTTCAAAAGTGGGAGATTCTTTTTGGAAATTTTAAATTCCTGACCAACAGATCGTCCAAATCACGACTGCAATGTTAGGAAATGAAGAAGATTCTTGTGAAAATGAAGAATGGCTTGCGTGGGATCTTCTTTTACTTTTGAGGATTCTGACGCTGACATTATGTTACTCCAAGAAATTTCTTTCAAAGTATAGTGCCGAGAAAAACTTGTGCGTGGTAATAATTTGAGTGACTAGAACTTCTATACCTGGAGGACGTCTTTTCGACGCATCCAACGGCAATTTTTAATCCCTCCCGTATTTAATATCTTTCAGGGAACCGAAAACTGTTTCCAAGGCCTGTCCTTCGTCATCACCGGTGTCATGGAGAGTTTGACGCGAGAAGAAATGGAAGAAATCGTGAAGAAACACAACGGGAAAGTTGTTCATTCGGTGTCGAGGAACACGTCATACGTCGTCGTCGGTGAAGAACCCGGTCCTAGCAAAATGAAAAAAGCCGAAACCTGCAAAACCAAGCTACTAACGGAAGACGAATTCCTAGATCTGATTGTCACGTGTTCCGAATCCGTTCCCAAGTCTCCTCCTCCAAAGTCCGAAGGCACTAAGAAATCCAAGAAGAGGAAACGAGCCGAAGATGACGTTATTCCCGCGACCCCGAAAATGTCCAAGAAATCGGAGAATGTTATCAACGAAGCGAAGGATTCGTCGAGGAATGAAAAGTCGTCGTCGTCGTCGGGGAGCAGAAAACTGGAACAGATTTCACCGACGGAAAAAGAAATTGTGTCCCGTGATGCGAAGAAGCCGATTGTTATTTCGAAAATTGCTCCCGAGCCTTTGCCGCCGAAAAAAGTTTTCGAGGACGATGGCAGTCCTCCTTGCCAATTGTGGGTGGACAAGTATCGACCCACGGAAGCCAGGTTGATTATTGGTCAACACGGTGACAGGAGTTGTGCGAATAAGCTGCGTAGATGGCTTCAGGTTCAGAACATTTTTTTATTTGTTTTTTATTTTCACTATCTCTAAAACCTATTAATTTTTTCAATGTACTGTACAGTTGAATCTTTGTAAGTCGAATTTCAAAGGGCCAGCAAAAAAAAATCGAGTTGTGTAGGTTTGGAGTTGGGGAAAGAAAAATTTTTTTTTTGTGGGAAGGAAAGAAAAATTGCAAGAAATTATGAAGGGTAATATTCAAGGCCTTGAATTGCTTCTCAAATGAGTTTACAGGATGCTGAACTTGGAGGGAAAGGGTTAATTTGCCCAAGTAGTCTTTAACTTCCTTTGAGAACACAACAAAATACTTTTCATTGCTTTTATTTTTCCTGTGTAAAGAAATTTATTGCCCAAAGTCCATGCAGAAGTTGAGTTATGAAGGTTTGAGAGGAAAAGCCTTTGAGTTAAGAGGTATGTTAATGTTTTCATCTCATGGAAATTAAAAAATTATTTAAGGAGAAAACTTAAAAAAACTGTTGAAAAGAGTAAAAGATGCTGAAAGTTTAAAAATTATGCCATTTAAAAATCTGTACTCAACTGTGACGTGCACCCCCTTTTTTGGCCCAGTTTCTTGGAAAACTTTCTTGATTCAGTAGATCTGTCACATTCACCTGATTTTTGTGTTCAAAATTTGAAAATTTTGCAGTTCAGTTTTTTGTAAAAAAAAAAATTTTAGAGAGAAAATCATTATTGAGATAGTCTACCTGTACCTTATTTATGTAATTCCCTGAATCCGTTTCCAGGAATCAGTAACTGCATCCTGACTACTGAGTCAAATTCTTGCCTATTTTTTCAACAAACTCCATTTTTGTGAACAGGACTGGCACAAGAACTTCGGAGATCCAAACAAGAAAGTGAAAGCTGCTCCTCCGTGGTTCAAGGATGAATGGGGAGCCTCTTTCAAAGCTGCTTTGCTGTCTGGATCACCTGGTGTTGGGAAAACGACCACGGCGACGGTCATTGCCAAAGAACTCGGTTTTGATCTTGTTGAACTGAATGCCAGTGATACCAGGAATAAGAAGTCTCTGGAAGCCGAAGTCTCTGAAATGGTTTCCTGCAAAGCCTTGGGAAAGGATGCGCAGAAAAGTTAGTCATCCCCATTGCTTGAGCTTGAATCAAAAGTATAAAAAAATTTATATGCTGTTTATACATTCATGTATACAATCCAGTTGAATCTGGATTATTCTAACCTTCCTAAGTCGAATTTCTTGTTATGTTGAATTTTTGTCAAGTCCTTGTCTGAATTCCCCTTAAGCCTCCATGACTCAAATATTCTGGGGGTCTTTTGGCTATTATTTTATTGACACAAGGGAAGAGAAAAGCAATAAAAAGTTAACTTTATGTGGATTGAAAGAAAGGGAGAGACTAATTGGGCAAATTAACCCTTGCCTCCAAATTCATCATCATCATGTCAACTCATCAAAGAAGGCAACTGGGATAGCAACAACTTTCACACTTTTTAAACTTTTTTCTTGCTTATGATTTTTTCATTTATTCTTTGCAGTCTGTTCCTTGTCTGGAGGGAGTATGAATGTATGCTAATTCCTTAGAAGGCCAATCAGGGAGCCCTTCTGTTTCAATCAACATGAAAGTGGTGTCAAGGTATTCACTTTCAAAATCCTTATGCATTTTAATTTTAGTAATCCAAGGGCTCACACCTCCTCTTAATGCTATTTGGAGGATGTAAAGTCCTGAACAAATACTCTAGCTAAGTTAGTCAAATGATGAATATCCCTGAGGATAACTGATGAAGTGATGTATTTTATATCCTCATAATAGGTGCTATTTTATATCATCTGAAAGGTATTCAGAGGATGTGTGATCCCTTAGATTTCTAAAATTAAAAAAGAATAAGGATTTTGAGAGTGAATACCTTATGACACCACTTTCATGTGAATTGAAACAGAAGGGCTCCCTTACTGTCCTTCTAAGGAATTAGCATACATTCAAACTCCCTCCTGACAAGGAATAATCTGCAAAGAATAAAAGGAAAAATTATATGCAAAAAAGAAAAAAGTGTGCAATTTTTTGCTATACCAGTTGTTGCTGGGTTGAGTTGTTGGTGTGCAACTTTTTGCTATCCAAGTTGTCCTGTAACCCAATTGAAGTCCCAGAATATTGCCAATTACAATTTACAATTTTTTGTTTTAAAGAAAAGTTTGTTGTGGAAAATGGCATACAATATTGTTGATTCTTTTCAATCTTTGACTTTTTGTTTACAATTTTGGGACAGGATTTTGTTGAATTTATTGAGCAGATCTTGATTCAAAATGGAGCAAACTCAATTATTTAACCTAATCTAAGCTAACCATTGTACAGCATGAACTACGTTTGGACTTCACCAAGTCAAAATTTCTTGAGTCAAATTCTCGCCTCTTTCATATTCCAATGCAACTCTCGAGTCCAATGCATTTTCAAATTCCCAAACTTGCAACTCTTTATGTCGAACTTTCTGTGGTCGAAATTTTCCGGCATTTTCCTTTTTGAAACCGGGGATTTCATTTCTTTTTAGGTTCCTCGAAAAGAGTTGTGATTATGGACGAAGTGGACGGAATGGCTGGGAACCAGGACCGTGGCGGAGTTGCGGAACTCATCAAGTTGGTGAAAGTGTCGAGAGTGCCAATTATTTGCATCTGCAACGACCGGAATCATCAGAAGATCCGGTCTTTGGCCAATTATTGTTTCGATTTGCGATTCAGTAAACCGCGCACGGAACAAATCAAGGCTGCCATGATGACTGTGTGCTTCAAAGAGGGAATCAAGGTACAGTTTCATCAACTCATTGGAAGACAAATTCCTCCATGTTGAAAAAAAGTAATTTCTTTGACATCTTTGTTGAAAATTATCGTTTGATTCCGATTTTTTTTTCACGATTAATTTATTCGTGAACTTTTAAAATAATCTTTTCTTCTCGCCTGAATCTAAACTCAATTACAGTTATATATATATTACAGTTATATTACAGTTATATATTATTATATTACAGTTATAACCGAAATAAAACCTAAACGATGTTCTGAAAGACGAATTCGATTCAAAATAACTGATATGTTCAAACGCGTGAAAGACATTTATATATTTTTTAAAGTTTGAATCGAATTTATTTTCTTGGATTTTCCGACAGGTGTCGCCTGTTTCGTAAAAGATGACCGAAACAAATTATAATCCCCGCTAATCAACCTAAGCTAACGGAGAAATAATGAATATACTGTAGTAAAAATGTAATGTTGATGTTTGTCTGTGCTTGTCTGTTGCCCTTGTGAGTTTATGTGTGTGTGCTGTCCTACTGGTGTGTGTATGTCTAGATAGTTGTCATTGAATGATAAAAAAGAGTATGCACTACATTTTTGAANATTTCGTCAAATTAATAATGCCTCATTTTACTGGCTAGTTACGTCCTTGTTTTTCGACCACGTTTGATACTCATCAGGAAATGTTGAGGATTGAATTGGTCCAGAGAAGGGTTCAGTATTGGGCCAGGTTCACGAACTAAGCACCTAATATCATTATAAAGAATTATTCCTTACGAATTTTTATAGAACGCTGCGCAAGAGTCACAAAGCTATCTTAATTTTATTGTTAAAAAGCTTTTCCCCAGGTCCCATACTATTCAATGCAACAAAATACTAACGTAATATATTTTTCATGATTTATGTGAAAGTTTGGGTCCATTATGTAAATTATCATGGTATCATCACAGCTTAAGTAAATTATCATGCGCACAGCATTTTGCATAGAATGAAAGGAGAAATTGAAGGTTGTCGCTCACATATTTGAAAAATGTCACTGCATAGTTTTCAGAAGGTACAAAAAAACTAAAATCCATCATCTGAGTTAATAACCAGGTGCCTTTGAATAGAAAATCAAAAATCAGTGGTAATTGAATTATGCGGAAAAATATACAGTACTGTACAAGAGATTAATTCAACATTATAACCCAACAAATTTAGAAATTCTTACAAATGTTCAAGTATTTTGGACAGCATCACTGTCCAATTAATAATACTGTACTAAGTGTAGTTGAATACTGTACCACACTTCCTTAAGTAAGGCATACACTCAACTGCTTCAACTTAAAATAAAAACAAAAAAAATTTCAACCAGGGTAAAAAGCCCACATCATTTAAAGTTTCTGAAAATGCAAGTTCAGTATTTATAAAATAAAATGAATCAGAATTTAAATTCTCACATGAAATGTGACCAAATTGAAAGTTAATTTTCATCATTTCCATTTTTTAATTTGTCTGCGGAGTTGTTTGGAAATTCCCTGTTGGAGTCAAGTATGAGGTGCACCAAAACTTTAAAATGTTCTCAAAATTTTATACCTACGACGAGCACCTTTTTTTTCTTTTCAATTTTGAAACAAAAAAAAATGTGCGCGTGTCTTTTGAGTAAAGACATAGTAATCATACATGTTAATTTGTCTCCTCTGAATGAACTAAAAGTCAGATAAATC